CATATATGAATTCAAAGAACATTGCAGTAAATATTAAAGTAGGAGTGCTAGCATATACTAATGACACAACTTGGTTGACAAATAGTCAAGAAAGTATACAATGTATGATTGATATTGCACAAATTAAATGATATTGAAATAAATTCAAATAAGACTGAGCCTGTGGTGTTGAAACTGGGTAAAAAAAAGTATGTGAAAGATTTTTTATTTGGATAAACAATCCAAGAAACAAAATTATAGTGAAAGATTTCAAAGAGTTTACAAGATTTCTAGAGATCTGGATGTTAATTAAGAACCAAAAAAAGTCAAACATATTCAAAGCAAGAAGTATAATAAACAAAATCACAGGCCTATACAAGCACAAGCAGATATCTCTTAGCCAGATTATATATATAAATAATGCAATTCTTATATCTGCTCTTGAGTATAGATTAATAATTTTATGTTTGACTAAAGTGCAGTGTGAGAGAATACACCAACCAATAATTTGTCTGATCAAATAGAAAATGTGATGCCTTCTATAACAGCAAATATAATAACAAAACGCTCAAAGATAATGGACCTCAAAAGTCTTTGGAATAGACACATAGACTATTATATATCAGAGCTATTAGTTGGACTAAATATACCAGGTTTATTAGAAGAATCATCAGCAAGAAGGCTTAAGCAAAGCCAACTAAAAGCAGGATCATTAAACTGTATCTTAATAAATCAGAATGTATTAGCAAAGAAAAAAACAAAATTTTGCAACCTAGATATAAATGTTTTACAACAAGTACATATCTTGGGCTTTGTAATAAAAGAAAATGAGATTATAAAGAGTTAGAATTTAGACATTACACAAATAGTAAATGATGAAGAGATTATACATGTTTTTGAGAGGTTGAACATGGCTTATGAAGAAACAAAAGCAGGTAGCCTGGGCCTAATATTGGTATTACAACTTATAGCAAGGAATAGCAAAACAATTTATATATAAAATCAAGTCAAATTAGCATGTAGTATGAGTTTAAAGAGAAAAAAGGTAGGCTGGTTCACTAAATTAGAAAGAGAAATACTAGAAAATCCTCTTATACAAGTAGTCAAAAATAGATATAACTACAAAGCAAATAACATTAATATACTGAGTATCAAGGTAAAAGAACCAAGTATTAATGAGAGAACAAAAAAATAAGTTTGCTAGAGAGATAAAGCAAATGTAACACTCATTGTAGGAAAAGTTAAAGAAAAAAATATATATATATAGAAGTTGAAAAATACAAAAAAACAATATATTGTTATGAAAATGAAATGTAGCAGTTATTAGAAATTAATGAAGAAAGTAAAACTTATCTCTTAAGCTATAGAGTTCGTATAACAATTTTAGCTTAAAAATAGCATAAATTTAGTTATGATTTATTTTTTTTAATATTTAAAATATTTAAATAAAATTTCATATAATAATAAGGATTATCTTTTTATAGTATTTATATTTATATTATAAGAAAAAAATTTTAAGTTACTTATAAGCTAAAAATAGAGTATTTTTTTAGTCAAAAAAGTTTTTAGTATTTTTTGACGAACTCTTTAAATATTGATTTTAAAAATATAATTCTTAATACAATATTAAAGTTTATATAAAATTTTATTTAAATATTTTAAATATTAAAAAAAGGGTTTTAAAATTTATTGCACTCTAACTACATGACTTTAATTTATTTTTTATTAATTAATATAAATAACAATAATATATAATAATTTATACATATTGATATATTTAGAAATTCTGAATAAAAATTTGTAATTTTTACATACTATTACTTAAATTATACTACTGTATATTAGGGCAGCACAATTTTTAATCAGGACGATTCAAGTATTTTAACAAGGTAAAAAAAGAGATTCGCTAAAGTGTATCTAAACTGATTAGTATATATGCCATTTTGTATACTTACTAGGTTATATTACTTATATAAATACCAAACAATTATAAATTTGATATAATTACTTATCTAGCACAAGTTAGTATATACAACTCTAAATTAATTATATTAAATATATATACACTTCACCTATATATATATGTATCAGATATAGTACAATACTCAAAGTTGCTAATCCTCGATTTTTTTAGAGCATGTTGCAATATTATAACCCAACTTCTTACAGTAGCTATATTGATTCTGTTCATGCTTTCTTTTGCTGTTGACTGATAATTCACTTGTTGGATATTAACTTTGTTAATTACAGTAGCTAGATAGTTTTAACCATTCTCTAGTAGCAACTTTCTTCAGATTTTTAAGAATAATATTTAGAAAAGTATTCTCTTTATTTGATTTTTTATTTCTGAATTATTCACTTGTTGACTCCTAGTTTTTTTTCATATATACTAGCTAAATATGTTTTGACTAATCCAACAAACTCATGATCCTGGTATAAAAGATATTTATTAATTATAGTATGAACTAAGCCCCATATTTCTCCATAAAACAACTATTTATTTATAAAGCCGGCATCCTGAGTAAATTGTTTATTTTCATTATTAAATAGTTAAAGCCATTCAAACTGTTGATTATTTTCTATTTCCCAACTTATACCAGAATCTAGAATATCATCTATAAACCGTTATCCATAGTGATCAGGTTCTTTTATTATATCATTTTAGTAAATTTTAGGGATTTACCTCAAATTAATAAGCCGCATATTAAATTGTACTGCCTTTGTGATATTTAGGAGATAAAAATAATGTCTATAAACTAGTTCCTATTTTTGCTATAACAAACAAATACAACTATATGATCTGTTGACAAGGCAAAAAACTACATAATTTATATTTTGCCTTGTAACTTTAAAAACTTTTCACACCTTTTTAATTTTGATACAATCTAATTGCTGAAGAAAGAATTTAGCATATAAAAACACACTATTAGGTTTGTCTTCATAATTATCACTTTTAGATGGCTCATTTATAGTTATGTTTTGAATTTTCTCAATATTAGAACAGAATGAAAGGTAATATACACTCTCCTTTATTAAAAACTGTATAACCTTTGGATACAAGTAATAACTAATAAGTAATTCAATTTGAGGAAAAATTGTTATAATATTAATTTTAGATAGGACTCTTCTAATTAAATCTTTATAGTGTTTTTGCTTTATGTTATCTTTAGCGCTATCTATTAGAACCTTTTCAAGTTTGTAAAGTAATATATTACTACTTTCAATAATGTGTTTAAAACATGCATTTTGGCTCTCTACAAATAATGTAGATTCAATACCAAGTGTAAACAATGCAGTAGTAAATCCATAAGTCCATAATCTATGTTTATTATACAATTGATTCTGAAGATATATGCAAAAGTTACAATTTTAAAGATTCAACAATTTCCAATTCTTTAGTATATTATTCAATTATATATACTGTAATATCTCATGATTGTTTAACCAAAAATTATTAATATTTTTTAACTTTTTTTAACCAAATTTCTCAAACTTTAAATGAATTTATCTTGATAATGTCTGTTCATTATTGATATTCGAAGCTATTTTCAAATTCTACTAGCTAGTAAAATTTAAAAATAACCTTAAACATTAAAATTAACCAGCCTATTATTAAGAAATCTTCAAACAAATTTTTTAAAAAATATTTAATTCTAGAATTTTATCATAAGAAATTTATATTTTGGTACACCCTGCATCATGGTGCACCTCTATAGCAAATTCTTAAGTTAAGATTAGTTAAGGTTAGGTTAAAGTTAGGATTAGAGTTAGGGTTTGGGGTAGGGTAAAATTGCAAGAAAAGCATTTTTACAACAGAATTACCCTAGTAAAATTTTGAGATATAGCAAATTTTAATTAAAGTTAAAATTAGGTAGAGTTAGGGTTAGGGTTAGAGTTTGTGTTAGAGTTAGGTAAAATTGTGAGAGGTGTTAGTCACACAACAGGGGTTACCCTAGTAAAATTTTGAGGTATAGCTAGAGTGCACCAAATTTTAAAATTCTTATCATAATACATATAATACAATTACATAGTATAATTTTAGCTAATCACAGGCATAAAGTCATGTGAAAAACATGCTAGAAATAGTAAATTTCCATAATGAAAATAGATGCTTCCTAATTTTAAGCTACAGCTTCAAGCTATAGCTAAAAGTTAATAACTTCAAGCTATAGCTGAAGCTAACAACTTTAAGCTACGACTAAAGCTATCTTTACTTTGGCTTAAATTATAATTTAAAGCCATAGCTTTGATTATAGCTTAGGCTATTTATTCAGCTTAGTTTTATTAAGCTTAGCTTAAATCTGCAGCTAAAGCCGGCTTCAAGTAAAGCTAATTACATCCCTACTTGCAATATAGTACATAGTAATAGAGATCTAAATTGTGTTCGGTACAAAATATAATTGAAAGCCCGATATTAAGTTTATCGCTTGGCGGTACTCCATATATCAATTTATTGAATTGGCCGAAAATTCATTCGGCCAATTTTTATCAGATACCCCAGAAATTATGATAATAGCTGTAAATAAATGAGTATAAATATTACAAATTGAAAATATCACATATTTGATTAATTCGGATTAAACATTAACTCTATTTGGACAAATTCAAGAAGGATTGTCAGAAGAAATCAGGTATCAGTAAACAAGATAATCGCAGATACAAGATTACGCCTAAAGTATTATGTACGGTGCATTGATACTGTATTAGGATTGTGAATGAAAAATCAAATGTGAAAATTAATAACTAAAGTTTCCTTGAATATTCTATTTTAGAATTGTATATTTCTAAAATCATTACGAGATATTCTATTATCCGGATAATCCGGATAACCTACCCGCGGATACCTGTATTGGCATTTTTTTCATTATCCGGATAATCCGGGTTTAAGTTTTTTTGAACGGATCCCAACACTAATTACCAGTTTCAGGCATTATCCTTCTAGTCAAAACTTGCCTAAACCAAATTGAAGTCCAAAACTCCTATGCCGAAACTTCAAACCATGATTAACCAATAAAAATCAACTATTTTTCCGATACAATACAACCAGTTTCTGACAACCTCTTCCCCCTTTCCCGACAGTTACAACTTCCCCGATAACCACCCTTTTCCCAATGACAACCCCCTTCCATAATACTACCTTTCCCTGACACCTCCCTGACACAAACACTTCCCCAACACACTCTTCTAATTCCTTCCCAGCACACTCTTCCTCCGACACACTCTTCTATTTATCTTCCCCGGCACACTATTCTATTACCTTCCCCGGCACACTTTTCTATTACCTTTCCCGGCACACTTTTCTATTACCTTCCCCGGCACACTTTTTTATTACCTTCCCAACACTCTTCTAATTACCCTCCACAACAAACTCTTCTAATTACCTTCCCCTACAGCTATTCTCAACACCTACTCAACACAACGAGCTTCACGATATTATGCTGCTTAATTATTTATTTCCATAAAAATAAATAAAATAAATAAATCTTAAAAAAAATATCATTTAAAAAAAAGCCAAAAAAAATTTTAGATCAAAAAAAAGATAAACCACAAAACTTTAAATTATGATAAAAAAAATTGGTTAAATTAAAAATTAAAAAAATTAATAAAAAAAAAGTTTATTATAAATTAAAAAAAAAATTGGTTATTAATGATTAAATGATTGTGATTGCGATTACGATTACTAAAGCCAGCCAATTGTGTCAAGTTCAGATTTACGATAAATTGGCTGGCTTTGGTAGTGTTCCGCACGGATCGGATCGGACGGATATTTTCAAGGATCCGGATTCGATCCGAAAATTCGGATCGGGTCCAAGTATAGATCCGGATCTGTGTTTAAATAGATGGATCCTTGGATCCAGCTTGGAACCTGACGCTTTTATATATCCGAATTCGACGGATCTTAAAATTTGTGGATCCGACCCGGATCCGTCAAGCGGATCCGGATCGGATCTTGAGGAACACATCACGTACAAAAAATTCTGCCGACCAATTAATCTCCACCACCTCTGATTGGTTCTACTAGTTATTCACAAAGAAAATGCCAATGTTCGTTCGAAATTAGTGAGCTTGTAATCTAACTTTATATACTATAATATTAAATATTTATGAATTTTAAATTTATTACCAATAAAAAGTATTCTTGTTTCGTTTATTCCAGGTTTTTGGAAGGTTTTTTTGCTTGGTTTTATGTCGTCTACTATCTATTGAATCGAGGTTGAGCTTGATTCAATATTTTTCAACCATTCTCTTGCTGTGGAAGGTTATAAGACTTTTCAAGAAGGTCAAGCATCTATATTAGAGTAATATTAATATTACTCTTATTATGTTATACACATAAAATAATAAATAAGCTATACCTCATGATGAGTTTTTTTTAATGCTGATTGATAATTTTCCAACTCTGTTTCATTATCATTTGATTCGTTATCTTCTGCAATATTATCGTTGTCAAAAACAGGTGAATTAATTGTTCTTGTTTTTCAGCTTCTTCAATTATTGGATAGTTTGAATTTCTTTGAACTTTAATTGAAAATTATTAATAAATATACGTTTTCAATATACAATATAAATAAATCTATCAAAGCTTTCTAAAGAATGTTACCAATGCTAATTTATTTTGTAAATCGACTCTGCACTTTGCGTTGCATTGCTTAGAACTATTTAAAACTTTTATTTTTTTTTCTAGCTCTTGACAGCAATTGCACCAATAAGTGAAGGTCGTACTTTTTGTTTGTTTATTATAATACTTCTTATAATAAACATAAGAGTATCTGTCACCTTTCTTACAGAGCTTTACAATTTCAGTTGCCATTAAGTTTGTATGTGATTTATCCTAATTTTTTGTCGATGCGATCTGAAAGACTTATATCCATTTGTAGAGACTGGACTCGTCAACTCGTGACTCGAATAATTCGAGTTCGAATCATAAAATTTTTAACTCGCGAGTTACTCGAGTTAATTATTAATGTATAATGAAATTTAATATGACTAATAAACTTTGCATTGATAAATTTTGTAAGCTGCATAAGTAATGTCGTAATTCTTTAAAATTAAATGAACTATGTACGTAATTTATTGCAATCGCAAATTTTTTTAAAAATAAAAAATTTAAGACTTTTAAAAACAATTTCATAATACAAACATTGAGCAAAACAAAAGCACTAGTGAACAGGAAGAATCCTGTAATAAAGCAAATAGTCAAAACACAACTACCAAAGGTAGAGCTCCAAGTTTCGTTTAGGATCGTATATATTTGCTTAAAAACATAAATTTATTATAGGGGAATTTACATAGGTACCCGGAAAGTGAAAATAATTACAAATAAGTGCCTGATATTTAAAAAATATTACATATAGGTACCCAAATTATCGATAGTTGAAAAAACATGATTGTATTCATTATAAGCGAATAAAGAATAAATAAAGCATTGGTTATAATTATTTATTAAAAAAATTTAAACTTTACATTAGATAGCGTCTATGCATGTTGCCTCAAACTTAAGAACTAATTTTTATTTTTTCAATGCATGCCTTCGACTACAAGTATGTACGTTATTAGGGTGGAACATCAAAACTATGTTAGATAGCTATATCACAGATTTTTACGTTACACAAACGGCAAATTGAATTCTATTCAAATTCGGATTATATATTTAATACGTACCATTATGGCGCATTTGTGAAATACCCCAAATTTTGAAAAATTTGACTACCGACAGTGAGTCAATTTAATTGACATTA